ATATTCAAAAGGAGCTTCTGTTCCAAATCCAGAATTTCTTTAATGGACTTTGATTGATGCACATTTGCTCAATTGTATCACTGCAACACTTACACCTTCAATCTATGCAACTGTACTTCGGTTTCATCATTGTTCTGAGGTCTGGAATTCTCTCCACATGAGGTATACAACTTTGTCTCGATCTCATATTCACCAATTGAAAAACAAGTTAAACAATGTTGCTAAGAAAACTGAGTCAATGAAAGAATATCTCTCCAAAATTAAGGACCTTGTCAGTCAGTTAGCTCTAGCATCTGTTAAAATTGAAGATGAAGATCTAGTCTTAGTGACTCTGAATGGTCTTCCTTCTGAGTTTGATTCATTTGCTACTGCCATTCATGCTAGACCAGACAACATCACCATGGCTGATCTTTGTGCTTTACTGTGTTCTGAAGCAATTCATTTAGATTCCAAGATCCACAGAATCAACTATAGCTTTCTCTACAGTTAAAGGATCTCCAACTCCAAATTCTTTTCACACTCCCTCTTCAAGATCTCAGAGTTTTGGCTCCAATCAAGGTCAATCTTATTTCAGAGGAGGCCGAACTAGAGGTTATGGTCGATTTACACCATCTCGAGGCAAAGGAAGGTTCTCCAATCAAATTTGCCAAATCTGTGGAGGCTCTAGTCATTCTGCACTGGAGTGTTGGTATCGCATGGATCCACAATATCAAGCTTCACATCAAAATGTTCAGATTCACAATCAACAACAGTAGCCATGAGCCTTTGTTATTTCCTCAGCAGCATCCATGTCTCATTCCTCAATTGGCTCTTCCTCAGTTCAAAGTCCTTGGTACTTGGATTCTGCAGCATCAGATCATGTGACTAATGATCTCAGTCATCTCAGTTGCTATCTACCTTATCAAGGCTCAGAACAGATTACAATAGGAGATGAAAACTCCATTCCTATCCAGCACACTGGTAAAGGTCTCCTTCCAACTCCACACCATTTGTTTAAATTGAATAATGTGCTATATTTAGATTCTATTTCTTCTAATCTTGTCTCTGTTCAGAAATTGGCTCAAGATAACAATTGTATTATCAGTTTTGATGATACTACATTTGTCATTCAGGACAAGCTTACGAAGAAAATTCTTCACAAAGGTTCTAATCTTCATGGCTTATATCACTTTCTTCCATCCACTTCACTACCTACTGCTCATGCTTCTTCAGCAGCTCTAACAAACTTTGCTTCTCAAAAGTTGTCTAGTTCTAATAATGTTTAGCATAATTGGCTAGGACATCCTAGTGCTTTGAAGTTTCAGCATCTTAGCACACACTTGCATCTCAACTCTTCTCCTTCTGTAACATCTCCAGCTTGTGTGGACTGTTGTATTACCAAAAGTCACAGATTACCTTTCAAGTTGTCTAATTCTACTGTAAATAAGCCCCTTGCTTTAATCCACAGTGATGTTTGGAGGCCCTTTTCATCCACTTCTGGTTATAAATACTATGTTCTCTTTGTGGATGATTTTAGTCGGTTTACTTGGTTATATCCATTGGTTTATAGAAGTGATGTTTATACAAGTTTCTTGAATTCAAAACTTATGCAGAAAAACAATTTGATACTCATCTTAAGATCCTTCGAACATATGGTGGTACATAATTTTTTAATAACAAAATGAAAGCTCTCACTGTGTCACAAGGAATTGTTCATCAACATTCTTGTCCTCATACACCATCTCAAAATGGTGTAGCTAAACGAAAACACAAAAATCTCACTGAAACTACTATTGCTCTCCTTCACCATTCTGTTATTCCTGTGCATTATTTGTTTGATGCTATTGCTTGTGCCACTTACCTCATTAATAGACTCCCTTCTTCCAAATATAAAACAACTTTTGAAACTTTGTTTCACAAGCTTCCAAATTTTTCTCTTCTCAAAGTTTTTGGTTGCCAATGCTTTCCTTGGCTCAAACCTTATCATCCTACCAAATTGCAACCTAAATCAGTTGAATGTGTGTTTTTAGGCTATCATTCTTTTGCCAAAGGGTATAGGTGTCTTGACCTCAAAACTTGAACTATTTATCTTTCTCGTCATGTAATGTTTAATGAACAAATTTTTCCTTTTGCCAATCAAGCTTCTTTCTCCTCATCCTCTTCTTCAACACAGCTCCCTTTCCTTCAATCCTTCTTTTCACCTTCTTCTTCACCACCTTTACAGACATCATTTGTTCCCACTGTTTCAGTTTCACCATTATCTCATTCTTCTACTGTCTCTACTTCACCAGCATCTGGTTCTTCTTCTCTTCCAAATTTCACTGGTTTACCTCCTCTTTCTACTGGTTTATCTCACAATTCTAATGGTTTACCTCATCAGTCTTCTCTTCCACTTATTTCTCCTATTCCCATTAACTCCATTTCTATTCAGTTGCCTCTTTCTTCACCTTCTGCTTCCCTTCCTTCTGTGCCTCCTTCTAATTGTCATCATATGCTTACTAGGTCTAAAGCAACTCTTTTCACTCTCAAACCTGCTTCTCTTTCTTCTCATGATGTTGAACCTCCCTCTCACAAGGAGGCCTTGGTTATTCCTATTTGGAAACAGGCTATGTTGGAAAAGTTTCAGGCTCTTCAAGCCCAGAACACTTGGTCCCTTGTTTATCTTCCTTCTAGAAAGCATGCCATGGGTTGTAAATGGGTGTTTAAGGTCAAGAGGAATTCTGATGGGACTGTTGCTAGACATAAGGCCAGATTAGTGGCCAAAGGCTATCTCCAACAAGAAAGCATTGACTTTCAGGAAACCTTTAGTCCAATTGCAAAATTGCCCACCATTCGCATTCTTTTATGTCTTGCTCTTCATCACCATTGGCCTATAAAGCAACTAGATATCTCTAATGTATTTCTTTATGGCCTTCTTGAGGAAGAGGTTTATATGTTGTAGCCACCTAGATTTGAACATTCTTCTCACCCACAGCAGGTTTGTAAGCTACACAAAGCTTTATATGGTCTTAAACAAGCACCAAGAACATGGTACTCTACCTTTTCAGCCTTTTTGCTCTCTCAAGGGTTCAAAAATAGCAAATGTGACTCTTCTCTGTTCATCTATCAGCTTTTTTTATTTTCATGAGGTATTCAATAAGTGAATAATATATTTATTATTTTGTAATTCTTTTGAATATATATTTGCAAATTCTTTGATAATTTTTTTGTAACTATTTAAGACATGGTAATCAAAACTGAATTTCTTTTGTAATTTGATGGAGGGAAAAATAAATGGGAAACAAAATGAGAAACAGAAAGGGAGAGAAAAAAAATTTCAGAGCCCCTAACTGATCGACCGGCCGGTCATCCCACCGGACGTCTCCATAATTGGTAAGCAATATACAAAAATAGTCTTCTCCAAAAAATAAAAACACAACACAGTGTTGACATGCATCACATAACATGTCCATTTAACGAGCATTTTGCCAAATTGCAACTCACTCCGCCCTGATACGCACCCGCAATTGCGCCATGTCAACGTCATCATCCCCAGACATCATTACATCATCAAGGGCAGCCAAATCGTCCCGGTCAGCTGTGTCCATGTATCTATACTCAGCCGCACTACTGACAGCAACAACAATCTCATCGTCCACACTATTTCTGCGTATGAAATTATGTAAAGCCATGGATGCTACAACCAATGGCACTTGCAGTTTACAAAAATCAAACCGAGGCATGTCTTAAGAAATCTCCACCGTGCCTTCCAAGCACCAAGGTATGCTCAATCACACTCCGCAAATATGAGTGCGTGCCGTTGAACAACTCATCATGGTTCCATGGATTATGGTTTTGAAATTCCGGTTGGTGGTATCGGTTGCCTTTGTATGGTGCCAAAAAGCCTTTCTTATTGTTGTATCCACTATCCACAAGATAATAGCGACCTATCAAAGTGCATATGTTAATTACGTGTATACTGCCACACCCATGGGCAATGCAATGTAATCTATTACGGTACAGAAATTGTAACTGAACTTGTGTTTGCAAAAGTGAACATTTGAAATGGAAAGTACAGAACTTTATTGTTGGTTAATATTCGCAAAAAATTGGGTACATAATACTCATGGCGTATGTTCACTTTGCATACAATCTAAATTTTAAATTAACCATAGTTGCATACATTTATTTCACAACAATTGTATCTGCAGAATTGAATTATGTATTGACAAGAATATGGATTCGGGCATATGTAATATCTTCTGCAGTTGGGAAATTGTATTGTGGATCCTCGATTACATTGCTTAAAAATCGGCTGTCATGCATGCTGCCCTCCCACTCGCACGAGACAAACACGAAGCACATGTTGAAATCATACACCGCCAAAATTTTCTGGGTGTGGTACCCCTTTCGGCTAAAATATGGGACTACTTCTGACTCATTTATGCATGCTGGCACGTGTGTTCCGTCCAATGCACCTAAGCAATCCTATATATCAATAAAAAAAATTACAATGATAAGATTACCGAGCATTTTCCAAAACATTACGAAATATTTTTGCACACCTTGAATGGAAAATATTGTGGTTGAGACTGCAGATGGGGATCCCTGTGCATTTGGAAATTAGTAGGGGGCTTGCAATGAGCAATGGTGAATTTTTTCATTGCTTTCAAGAAGTTATGAAAATGGCTGGAAATAGTTTCACCGGAGTGTTGGAATCGTCCTTGTAACTCCCGGTTTGGCAAGTTTTTAAGCACATAAATGAATATTGCGACACTTTTCTCAATGTGCAAGCCATGCAGATGCTCGGGTACATGCAACTGGAAGCCGTTTACCAATGTCATACATAACCGAATGAACACATGTTTTGGCATGCACAATTCGTACCGGAAGCGGCCACTGTGACCATTGTACAATTCTGTAATCCGTGCCCTCCCCGTCATGATGGAAGTGTGGCATGGGACTTTAAGGATGTAGGCTTTGTAGTAGTCAGTGGCAATTCTGTAGGCTTCAACATATGCATAATTCATTTCATGTTGTCACTATATTGTGAGTGTTGTGACATCCTCTAACATTTGATTCATTCGTGCAGCGTCCTCATCGTCGTTGTTCATACCTGCTAATAATACGAACAACCATTAGCACAAATCATTATCAACAATGATGGCATTATTAAGCACATGTTGGTAGCATGAAATTTCATATGGAAAATGTGAATTTAAAGAAAATTTTCTAAATAATGAAATTTTATGTTGAAACCCCTAACAGAGATGCTATACAAAAAAATGTCATCAATAAACAGTTACAAACTACTCAGAAAACCACATGGGAAATAAACAAATTTTAATCATTTCATAATTTCATAATTTTATAATTTTAATAATTTAATTTTAGAATTTTTAATATATAGAAAACCACATTGTTTATAAAAAAACCACATGGGAATTTCATAATTGTATATGAACAACCTGGTCATAGACATTGAAAAATGGGTACTGGGGATAAAAATGGATTACCACAATTAGTTAAACCCTGCAACAATTAGCATAACAAACATATGAACCACAAAGATAACTTACAACCTAAAAGTTAAAGACAATGGGTCGACAGCCATGTCCCCTGCCCAATCCATTGTCAAACCAACAATGACAATATAAAAATAAAAAATAAAAATAACAGTGCACACACAAAAAATCACAATTCAACTTAAAATAAACAAATTTTCGAGAGTTGTTTCCCTTACTGATTTAAAACTGAAGTCCTTCATTGCGTAGCAAACTCACAAGAGTGACACCTCCATTCCTTTCTTTGTCATGTTTCTTCACTTGTACCCACCCGATTATGCCTTGGTTCGTGGGAATATTCATAACCATCTCTCGATTGTTTGGAACCTCCATAAGCATGACTTTAAAATGAAGAAGTGCATCGGTGGGGTCTAGTCCCTGTATTTCGTACAGCTGTCCAACAACCTAGCCCATAGTGTAACTGTGCCCCCCGACAACATGGTTGATAGTTAGTTCCTTGCTCTGAGTCTTCACAGAATTTACCAAGTCGTCCATGCTAGTTGCCAATGCTGCTTGCAATGTTTTGGCCGAGGAATGCTTCTGCTTGCTTCCACTACCCATGGGATTGATGTTGACAAAGTTCATCATGTCAGCCATTTCTGATGCTCCTAATTCATTGTTATCGCTGGAAAATTCTAGACTGTCAGACTCTCCTTCCAACTCCGTTGGGTTACGAGTCTCGCCAGGCGTCCACGCATTTTTGCCTGTTGCCACTGCGCTAGTGAAGATGGGCTCCATCAAATCCGGATGCTCCAAGGTTTTGGTTCTGACCTTGCAACAGTCTTTGTCCATCTGTAAATGAACATAATGTAAATAGTATTATCGTGTTGACATGGAATAAATTCAATACAACATGGTGCAGAAATGGAAAAATTAAAACCTGAAGAGAGGTTAAAATGCTAACATATTCAAGGAGGTTAAAGTATGCTAGAATGAACAAATCAATGCAACAGTATTAAATTACAAACAAGTTTAAGCAATTGGTGGGATCACAATTCATACTACCAAAAAACAAGTGTTAAATTGAATTTTTAACATCCAAATGAAGTTAATTTTGAATATGTAGGGAACATTTGACAACCTTTCAAGAAAGTATAACAGCTAAAAACTAAAATATAATAATGTTTTTCAGCTAAAAACAGGTATTTAACAGCTCATATTTTAAGCATGACTCATCTCAAATATAATAACTTTTTTAAGGTCAATTGAAAAGCAACTATCACATTACAAAGTGTGTACTCGAATGACCCATTACATTTTATGTTAGGTTTTCGAGATTAAAAAATACACCTAAACTGACCTGAACTGATTACAAATGAAAAGAAATTTCTTATTTTGCATTAACGTATCACATTAAGAAAAAAGGAAAAAAATTAATAATAATAGTAGCATTGGACAAACACCTTAAAAAATAAAAATTTCATATAAACTTTGGAAAATGAGGTGGGTATCAACACTTACACCATTCGAACTGTATGTACTTTAGAATAAAATATATATTTTTATAATTTTTGAATCATAATTAAAAAAAATATGTATCATAACCAAACATAACTAAAAAATTGATGGGTCATAATTAAAATCATTTCATAACAAAAAAATTAAATAAAACAAATCTGATGAAATTTGAAACGTGAATAAAACCAAGTGCCTATTAGCAAAGTCAAGTAATTGGGTCGAGCCAGTCATATTTGATGAAATTTCATCAATCTTTTTTAATTTTAATTTCGTTTAATTTTAAATTTCATTTCAGGCATTAGATTTGTGTCATAATTGTCTTCTCTGAAATATTCCTTTCATTAAAGCCATAAACATACGACGTTGTGTGCATATAGGAAAGCATGGTATACATACAAAAAATGAGATATTAGTTTTGTATAATAGACAGGAAAAACAAAAAGTAAAGCTTTACCTTCTCCATTTTTGCCCACCAATCAACCGACGCATTGAACAACCTAGTAACTTGGTCAAAGCCAATTCCAGTTGGACCTTTCCAGAAATCCATTAGCTTAGACCATGCACGCCACTTGCTCTTCAATAAATTGTACTTGTTTTTAAGTTGTTTCGGTGAATGCAGCCTCCCAGTTGCTACCTCAAACGTCTTAGGCAATGAACGGTACCCCGTTTGGCTTGATTGACATGTGCGGCCAGTTTCCTGCATCAATTTCCTTAATGACCAGTTGCAAGAATATCCGTGTCGACTCCCCATCCGAAGTTGCTTTATGATAGGGTTGTTGCCCTTTCCCTTTGCCGAAAGGGGTACAAGGCGCAGGTCGATGTGACGCCATGCGACTATAACAACATCGTGGAATGAGAACCAGTATAAAAATATTTATACACTTACATACTAGCATTACCAAACTTATGAACACACCTTTTATGTCAGAAATGTGGTATTTGAAACAAAACATAGCACAAAAGCTTCATTTAATGACATTAGTATTTGAAACAAAACAAACAGTTGTGGAAAGATATAATAACTACATGTTTATGAACAAAACATATCATTTGAAAAAAAAAATTTGGGCCACAAACATAATGAGTTTAATAACAATAGGGTAAGGTTGCAACACGGTTACATATATCACATCCGAAACAGCAAAATAACAACAACGATGCACAGCACACATGTCACTACTATAAATACATGTAGAGTTTGTTTAATGTTACTGAAACGAGCCTTAAAACGAGCAACATTGTCTCTATCATTCTCAGTAGCCCTTTGGCACCCATATTCGTCACACCACCCAATCCAACTGACACATGGCTGAGGTTGAAAAATATATTAGTGACGGTTTGACAAGAAAATATAAAAGTAAATGTGCTTGTACTCACCACTCCACGAGGGCATTGGTAGTACGCACAACCAGGGTTTCTTGCAGAACGAGAAATCTTTACAACACAGTGTCCGTAGCCACAAGCACACATACAACCTGGTTGTGTTGATGTGGCAGCTGACATAAACGAGGCCATGGTTTCTTTCGTGACTTGTTTCGGGACATGACAACCAGAACAAGAACATGTCAATGGGTGTGACAGTTTTGTTATGGACATAATTTTCTTGTGGTAACTTTTTTGTAATATAACGTTATCCGAACATGTTCCATGAAACAGGACGAGCGTTATATGAAACTAGGTAAGAAAATCAAACAAGCCCCCCCACAAAACATTTAAATCCCAGCCTATAGCCATTTTGTTAAACAGTGATTGTAAACAGAGAAGAGATGGTAACAAACAAGTGTAGATCCTTTACAAAAATATTACAGGTTCATGGCATGCCAATAAACAACACTCGCATTATTAGACAACAAAACAAGAACTACAATTTTTGGAAACAAAAAAATAATTCCTACGAACTGTATTTTTCGAAACAGAACATTTGTTATGGACTATGGCACAGAAGAATTGCAGATCACAAAACAAAACAAATATATGTAGTGTAGAACAGAAATAGGGTAGGAACAGGAAGAACAAAAAAAATATTCAAAACTGTGATTACAGATGTGCACCAAAAAATTTCAAAATTTTTTTTTTTCAAAAATGTGAACAAGAAGAACACTTAAATGCCTTCAATTTTCAAACATGTCGTGGTGATTTTTATAACAGTAGTATGGAAAGAAAACTTTAACAACACTCCATATTTGTTGTCCCATATCCATCACCTCAGTTCACCTTAGTTTATCAGATTGACACACCCCCACCACAACAAACTCAGTCATTGCTAAAATTTAAAGGAAACCTGAGAGGGTGATTTATACTCCGGCGTTGGGCCGAGGTATAAACCGAACAGGTTTGGGGCCCAGCAGAGCAGTGGGCCGAGATGATCGACTGTTCACCCGGGGATCGGTTACCAGAACTTGGGCCGGGCAGAGTTTGGACTATGTGCTGCCCCGAACCGTGCAGAAGGTGCTCGGCCAGGAAGTGACCGGTCAGACCAGGATGCTCGGTCTGAGGATTGTCGAGTTCAGACAAACCGAGAGGCCGGCGTTCGGAAAGGCGCGGTCAGCCGAGGTAGTTGACTGACCGGCGAGAAGACCGACCAAAGGAGGATCCCGGGCTAAGCTTTGCCGAGATGCCGCCTAGCCCAGTCCTTCATTCGGTTATCCGGTCGGGCGCTTAAGGTATGAAGCATGGTATGACCGAGGTAGGGCAGCTCGGCTGCCGAGCTCCAGCTATGCTGGCAGGCAGTTGAGAGCAGGTGATGAACGGCATGGTTTAAGCTGACAGATGGGATAGCAGAGCCACGTGTCAGGAGATGACAGGGAGTGGGTATGGGGCGCAGAAGGTATATAAGCCTGTCTGCGCCCCCCATGCGGAACAGACGAACACTCTGTAAGGAATTTCTTACACTCAAACACTCTCTCCCTTCTCTCTATTCCTCCTAAGGTGTGTGCTAATTTGACCGTCGGAGGGTGTTTCCGGCCACACACCGCCGGGTAGCTCACCATTATTTGCTCGCAGGTGATCGGATATCGACGGAGCTTGGAAGAAAGGAATACGGGCACGCCGGAATATTTGCTCCCCGTACAAAACCCTAAAACCACCCTCTTTTGCTTTTAGGGGACTTTCATTTTAATTACCCAAACAAAGTCTGATTTTGGAAGAGATATTCAAATTGGAAAATGTAGAGAGAGAGAGAGACAGAGAGAGAGAGTTCATACATTTATACAAAATAGAGCATAGGTCTCATGGTTACATATACAAATAGAAACAAGAGAGGCTAAAGAGAGAGAGAGAGAGAGAGAGAGAGAGAGAGAGAGAGTTCATACATATATAAAATTTGTAAAACATAGGTCTCATGGTTACATATAAAAACAGAAACAAGAGAGGCTGGAGAGAGAGAGAGTTCATACATATATAAAATTCGTAAAACATAGGTCTCATGGTTACATACAGAAACAGAAACAAGAGAGGCTGAAGAGTGCAACAGAGACAGACAGAGAGAGAGACGAAGAGGATACCTGCGGTTGAGGTGATCGTCGACTGCGGGACTGGTTTTCTGTTGGGCTTTGTGGACTGTCGTCGTGGCTTGCTTCGTCTTCCTCTTCAGATCAGAGCTTCTACAACTTTGTGGCCTTGAACGAAGCGGCCTCTTCATCTTGCGTGTTTGATGTAAACTCTGGATAGTAGCTGAACTTTGGATAATACACCCTGTATGATGGCTCTGATAATATTCCCCCTAAAGTTTGACATAAAGCAGGGGTACAAACGAAATAACGACACATCACCGAGGGGCAAAAGGGTCTTTTTATACTGAATCTGGTAGCCATCACGTGAAGGCACTATGTATAGGGTTGTAGGAAAAAAATTGTAGGCTTTTTGGCTTTTTTAGGGACTTTTTGGCTAAAATAGCCGCTTGCCAAACGAGGCCTAAATACCCTTAAAAATCATAATTTTCGTGAATTTTTTTTAAAAAAAATTCACTAAATATCAAAAATTAAAAAAATATAAAAATTCAGTATATAGTTCGTATTTTTGTATATTTATTAATTTTTTGAAATATTTTTTCACAGACATCTTTTTTTAGATATATCTAAGTAAGGTACATCTAAAAACGTTTTTAAAAAAATGCTTAAAATTTTAAAAATATTTACTAAAAACACGAAAAACAAAAAACAAAAAACTTAGTTTTCAAAAAATTGAATTCAGAAAACTAAAATCAAACACACTAAATAGCTCCAAATCATTTGATGTGGTATTTTGGCCTTCTTGTTGTTGTTGTTGTTGTTTTTTTTTTTTTTTTTTGACTTTCCACCTCACTAGAGCTTAATTAGAGCTCTAGTTTTAGAAGGTTGCATCATTATTATTGGAGAAATATAAGAAGAATAATGAATTATACAAACAGTTTTTTTTGTAGTTTAGAGTTTGTGTTATCTTAGTTCTTGATTTTTTATTTGTGATATGTTTGATTCTAACTTTTAAATCATGTTTCAAATAATGGCAATTAAATATACTTCCTTTGTAAATGGTCTATTTTAAGAACAAAGTCGTCATACAATTTATTGTGTTTTAATTAACTTATACGTTGTTTGAAATATAATGATTTTTTTAATAAATAATGTTGGAACTTTCTTACTTGTAAAATTATGTTTAATTTGATTTTCAAAATTTATTTTTAGAAATTTTTTCTAATAAATTAAAAATTAAATTAGTGAAAAAATTAAAAACAAATTATTTTTATATAATTTTATTTTTTGGGAGGGTAGAAATAAATTTTTAAAATAATTTTTTTGATATTTATTTTTGTTAAATTAGTTTCTATTTTTTCAAAAGTCAAATATGACAACAACTTTGATGTCATTATTCAAGCAATCCATTAAATAAAAAAATCCAAAATTAAAAACATTTCGTATAATAAACATATCGATTACACATTAAAGACTATCCATTACATAATAACTATTCAAAAAGATATGTTAACAATAATACAACTATCTATTACATGATAATCATAAAAATAAATAATAATAAATAAATAAATAAAATAAAGAAATCAACAAAAACAACTACCTATTACATGATTATCATCTAAACACATACTAAAAAATAATTTGGTAAAAAAAATAAAAAGTAAAAATATAAAAGATTTATCATTTTTATAATTTTAAAAATTCAAAAATAATTTTTTTAATTTTTTTTTGTGGTCAAACTAGTTTATATTTTATCAAATTGACGACTTTGCCCTTGAAATAAAATAACGGTATCTTCAATTGCCTTTATTTGGAATGAAATTCAAGGTCAAATGTATTACAATTAGAATATCAATGACAAAAGTGCCACAAGTCTCAAACTATAAGGATCGTTAGTATAATTCGTCCTAAAAAGAAAAATGCTTAGGAATAGTAATTGAGCATCCTCGATCCATTCTTAATGATATGAAATGGACCATGTGTAAAAGGTGGGCCTACACTCCTCATCGTTTTTCTCTTCATCTCTCTATTCTCTCTCTCTTCTACCTCATTAAGAGTCAAAATTATAACGATTCTAGTTTAGACCCGGCCCGTTTATTGTTTTGAATCTGAAATTTCCTTGTCTTATTGGTTGTTCAACTCCTTTTCATGTTATTGTTTGTTGGGTTTAGCTATTAGGAGTTTTGGTTAAGTTCGAAATAGGTTTAGGGGTTAGTTTTTCTAACTGTTGTTACCCAGAAATTTGCATGTTCACTTGAGCGACCATACATGCGCTTGAGCGGTCTTTTGCAGTCTGCCA